GAAACTTAGACAAGTTCCTGAAACGTGCTTTAGATTAGAATCGACTCCATGTGTGGGATTTTCATATTGATCATTCCAATATATTTTAGTAGCGCCTTGAGGTCAGCTTCTGAATGAGTTTCTTTTCAGTGGGGTTTCGTAACCATGCCAGGTCAAAAATGACTCATAAAGAAATACGAAGTCTTTGATCGATTTTCGATGCCAATACAAATCCAAATATATTTCTTAAAAAATAAAGAACAAAACATCCTTTGTTATACAATGTCTTCAGTCGGTAACAAATCACGTCTTACTCAACACGTATACCACTTTTTTTGTTTGAGTTTTAAAGCATAAAATATGTTGAGGAAGAGAAATGTGCATCCACATAGCATCGCAGCTGCCCATTTATTAATGCTACCTACGATGTATACAACAACATGGTGTACATCCATTGCAAAATATAATGAGCCTTCTCTGAGGTTTTCTTAATAGTGCAGAATAATGTGCGGTTTTCTTAAGGTGGAAAATCATTTCGCAAGATAGGCTGACCACTGTAATATGTACCTATAACAGTTGCATTATACTACTCGTAACAACTGAGTAGCCCTTAATGATGACCCTATTCGACTAAACAAGATCTGCCCGCTTTTCTACTGCAATTAGGCAGCGACGTCTTTTTTGAACTTTTCTTCGTTATCGATACATTTGCTAGCCACCTTTATACCAACGGGGAGCTCAAAAACGTTCGCCTATCTTTCCCTTAATAAAACTGAACTGAAGAACCCGTTCAAAAAGAGGGTTGGATTAAGGGATCGTAATTTTAAAAAAGAGGTGAAAGCAAGTATGAATGCTGGATCAGACCCAGTGCACAGCCTTACCTGGCCTAGGTTGAGCGGCTTGTACTTGGCACATGCCGAATTGAGTTCGACCCTAAAAAGATGAAAGTGTGCTACGTGATGAAACACAGATTCATTAAACCGTAGTACAGTAGTCGCCGGCTATTAAGCCCACCTCGGGCCCAGACCAAATTG